TGAATCATTTTTTATGATTGAAAACAAACAAAAAAAAAAAAAACGAATTTTATATATAATTCTTTTTACTTCTGCGAAATCTGACTTAATTACAGAACGTGATTTTTTACAAAATTAATAGAAATTAAATAAAAAAATATCGACGAGATTCTATCAAATCACCTGATAACATAAAAAAATTACATGATCGCAGAAGACTCGTTTTTGTAGAATCCCCCTTATATCTCCCCATCACTAATATTTCACCTTTGTACCTTTGATTTCCGCCTTTTTTAGTCTGAACTCATCAACTAAAGTTGATGAGAAAACGATATCGGAAATCAAAGGGAACACTTACTCCTGTTACTGTGCAGCAATCTGTAATAATGTCAAAGTAGATAAACGATTCCCAGCGACAACCAGACGCACGAGTGGATTCCACAGGTCCCCCTGGTACTGCTGCCAACGTCGTCCCCTCGGAGGCGAGCTGATCTAATTGCTCTCACGAGCTCTCTTTTCCGAGCTCCTCTCCAGCGAAACCCTACTCTCGGACCCCGTCAAGCGCCGCCGTCCCGGTGCGCGTCCGTTACAAATTCCATTCTCGCTCAGTCCCATTCTAATTTTACCCCCCAACGCTCTAGTGCACACACACACACACACAAGGTGCCCCTATATGTGTACTCTCAGTATGTATTATATTTCCTATTTCAAAAAGGGGATAGCTTGAAGGACGTAGCAATATTTAATTAGAGCATTGCTATATTAAGAGATGCTTAATTGGATATGTAATTGGCTGATACCTTGATACAGCTCTAAATACAAATTTTTTAAACTATCAATGTTTTTTATCCTAATGGTACTCGTAGCGCGTCCTCAGAAAGACAGTACATAAAAATTTTTTATATTTTAAGTGACAATCGCTCAAGCTTTATAAAAAGTGATTTGTTTACTTCTTTAGATCTTGAAAGAATGTATTATTTAGTGCTTAAATGATTGTCTACTTTACTGCCAATTTTGCGTAAAATAAACAGGGTAAGATAGTGTAAGTTTCGTTGGAAAGACCGTTCTTTGATTATCTTCATGTACGTCGATTTTTTTTTTTTTTTTTCTGTCATTGCCATTTCACATGTACAAATGTAAACACTTCGTATTTCTTTATCAAAAATATTGCAATAAAGATTTAAGCAAATAAAGAAAAAATGTGCGAATTTAATATCTATCTTGGGTAGACACACCATATAAGATGTAGAGATGTATTCACGTACGCTGTGGATCCATCTATATTCTTAAAGATTGAACTGCGCTTTTTACTTCTTAAATGACTTGATCAAGGATAGTCATTTAAAATTACAATAAATTCTTTTAGGTTCATATCACTGTATCCGTCAAAAACGTTTAAAAGAAAGGCGCAGATAACCAAATCCGGGTTTTCCAATCTAAAACAACATTAATCAAAATTTGTCCTAAACTTTTTGCACACGGAGTGAGCGTGACTGCATTTTTGGGATCTGTGCTGAGGGGGCACAGTGGCCTAGAATTAAGGCATGCCTCGATTTTCGCAGCCAACGTCGACAGCTCCTCGAAGGTAAGCGAGTGATCTCCGATGACTCTGCGGAAGTGGTGCTTGAAACTACGCACCGCCGCTTCCCAGAGTCCGCCGAAATGTGGGGAACGTGGTGGAATGAACGACCATTGGGTGCATTGGGTAGCCAAAGTTGATACCACGCTGTCCATAAAGGGTGACGACTTGGCGAAGAGCGCTTGCAGCTCCTTATCAGCTTTTTTAAAGGTTGTTGCGTTATCCGAATAAAGTTTCTTGCAAACCCCTCTACGAGCGCAGAACCGTGCATAAGCTGCAAGAAAAGCATCTGTGGATAAATCCGAAACAATTTCAATATGTACAGCTCGCGTAAATAAGCAAATAAATATTGCGACGTAGCCTTTTGTAGATTTTGCCCCTCGGCCTCTGGAAAACAGCACAGGGATGGGCCCTGCGTAATCCAGTCCGGTAACGGCAAATGCACGAGACGGCGTCGTTCGGTCAGCAGGCAAGGGGCCCATCTGCTGGGCAGAGCATCTGCCATCAAATCTTGTGCAGCGGACGCATCGCCTGTAGACTCCTGCTGCTACGGCCGGGCCTCGAGTGATCCAGAGCGAGCGGTAGATATGGGACAACATAAGTTGTGCGCCACCATGAAGCGTTAACTTGTGCACTTCTTCGACGAGTCGTTTGACCAGAATGCATCCCCCTGGTAGCACAATTGGATGCTTCTCGTTGTAAGGTATCGGCGAATAATGTAGTCGACCTCCCACTCGGATCAAACCCCGTTCGCAGATAAAAGGACTGAGACGAGCCAGCGGACTACGCTTAGAAAGCAGCTTATTCGCTAGCAATTGCTTTCGCTCCTCCTTATAATGTTGTTGCTGGATAGCTCTGTAACAAAAATTTTGGGCAAGAGCCCTCTCCCGTAGTGAGATGAATTTGTTACTTTCTCGTGGCTCATCATCTGGTTTCCGAAGCCAGCGCCCACAGTAGCCCAAGATGCGCAGTATTTTCTCAAAATCAGAAAACTTTTGCAGCGACGGCAAACAGCTGCAACCTGCGACCAAACTGACTTCCTCGTCATTCCTCTCCATGGCTGCAAGAGCATGCGTCTCCTCAATGGCTTGAGCGCTCAAAGGGACGGATGACGGCCAGGCTGCTTCTGGTAGCGGAAGCCAAGCGGGTCCGTGCCACCAGAGCCGAAATGTAGCAAGGTCTGCGGGACTAAGGCCTCGCGTTGCACAGTCCGCAGCGTTGTCAGCAGATCTCACATGTCTCCAAATAGCTGATGGAATCCGAGTGATGATCTCGCTTGTGCGGTTGGCAATAAAGGTTTGCCACCTGGACGGATGATCCTTCAACCACTCCAGTACAACTCGTGAGTCTGACCAGCAGTGGATCGCTGTCGGTGGACGATGCAACGAATTGAGGAGATACGACGTCAGTCGAGATAGCAGTGTAGCAGCACAGAGCTCCAGCCTTGGCAGCGACTGCACCTTCGTAGGCGCGACCTTGGTTTTCGCTACAAGCAGCATAGGCGTAGACCCAGGCACCACTAAGTAAACTGCTGCAGCATAAGCCCTTTGCGAGGCATCGGCGAATCCGTGCAGCTGCCAGTCGTCATTCTCCTTTATGTTTATCCACCTTGGAATTCGGATCCTTGGTACGTCTGAAAGATTGGCTCGGAATTGCAACCATCGAGCTTGCAGAGACTGCGTTGTAGGCGCGTCCCAGTCCACCTTATCGATCCACAAATCTTGCATAATGATTTTGGCAACGACAATCATTGGTGCTAGCCATCCTAGAGGGTCGAACAAACGAGCAATATCA